GCTGCTTCGGCCGGCGGGAGCTGCGGGGCTCGGGGTAGTTTTCGTGTTCAAGCCGGTAAAAGCTGCCGACAAAGGAAGGAGCAACCTGTCCGGTTGAGGAGTAGAGCAGGGGCAGGTTGCGTGGTAATGGGTTTAGAGAAGAAAAGCAGTGATGACTGCTTTCCGTAGGTGAGGATCTGTTGTAGCTCCTCGTGAAACGGACCGGGGGGCTTCTATTCTGATTCAGTGACTAGAAATAAACATCAGTAGGATTGTGCACAAAGTAACTCAGAAGTTATCCCTAAATTCCTTTTCTGTCGTCTAAGCACAGGAGGGGGCTGCTGTTTGCAAGTACAGTCAGGCTGGGTGCCTGTCTCTTAAACGCTTCCTAAAGTAATTATGTTGAAATTATCCTGGCTGCTACTTCAAGGAAACTGCCTAGGTTTGTTACCCCTTAGTCTAAAGTACACAACTTACATGGCAAGTATGTGTAGTCAATTTGAAGGGGGAGAAAAATAATTGGGACCATTAATCTTTATGGTGTGTTTCTGTACCTGCTACCTTTCCTCTAACCTTGTAATGTCTGTACCATGCTCAGAGGATCCTGCTGTTGAAACAGCGGAAGAAGCTAAGGAACCAGCAGAGGCAGACATCAGTGAACTCTGTAAAGACATGTTTAACAAAATGGCCACTTATTTAACAGGTGAACTTACAGGTACGGCACTGCAGTACTGACCTGCAAGTAATTTTTTGTTTCTTTTCATTTTCTTTTAAATAAATCTATTGTGTAGTTTGTCTAAAATGTACCTATTTGGATCATATCTTGCAAGACTGGCAGTTCAAGTCAGACATGTTGCTAGACTACCGACAACACTAAGATTAGTCATATTAATGAAGACCCAGAATAGCACAAATATTTTTCAAAAGAATTTAATATGATATCGGCAAACTTAAAAAAATAATATCTTTTTAGTCTTGGAGAAGATAGTACATGGAAAAACAAACAAAAGGGGTCTAGGTTAAGAAGGAGAGGAGAGGAGTGCAACTAAGAGTGCAACACATGCATCTGTTTTCTTTCTGAGTGAGAGCGAGAGTCATACACACGTTTTCCAACATTCACTCTTTATTCTGAGGTGCTGTGAAACATTAACTGGACAAAGTAAACTGCTCAACAAGTCAGTGGATTCCATAGGCTCTAATTTTGAAAGCAGGCCACAACACTACTGATTTGCATGGACTTGAAGAGTATGTGGTACAGATTACCAGTCTAGGTTTGTGCTATCAATTTTGTAAATGTAAGTTTAACTGACAGAATAAAAGTAGAAATATGAGGAATTAGTCCATTTTTCTCTTAAAAAAAAATTGCAAGTGAATAGGTATTCATCAGTTCAGTTGATTTTTGCAATTCACAAAACACCATCTCTCTTTTTGTAGAGCATTATACTAATACCCGTATTACCATCTGAACTGTTCTTTGTTACATTTGGCTATTGGTTTGAAATCTCTTGTCCTGTTGAAGAGTCTGCACCAAATTCACACAGTGTCAACTTTTAATTAAAATAAACTGGTTTTTTTTAAGCCACCAGTGAAGACTACAAACTCTTGGAAAACATGAATAAGCTGACTAGCTTGAAGTACCTAGAAATGAAAGATATTGCTATAAACATCAGTAGAAATCTGAAGGATTTAAATCAAAAATGTAAGTAAACCAAATAAGGTAAGAGTGTAATGACTACTACACTTGCTTGGGAAATGAAGCATCTAAGAGTCAGATGGTTCATGCTCCATCAGGTGCTGAAGCAAAGAAAACTCACTGAAACAGACATGCTGCTATATAGTTCCAATCTTGTATATTTCTTTACAGCTATAGGCTATGTAGACTAGCGTAAGAGAAATTACATCTGATTTTATGTCCTGTTTTACTCTAAGTCTTGGATCTGATAGGAAATAACACTTCTGATTTGTGTTGTATTGTTACTTGTGTTGAGTCTACTCAGTACTCTTAAAGATTTCATATGTTCCTGGAACACGGCTGTCAGTATCACTGCTTGATTTTGGGGCAGGGGAAGGAAGGAGCTTTTAAATTGTTCTATCTGAAGGATGTAATAAGAAATTCTTGTGTTTCAAATGTGAACTGTTTCTTGAAAGTGAATTACTTGAGAAATGATGGAAACAATTTTTCTCCTTTTTCAAGATGCTGCTCTTCAGCCATATCTGGAACAGATCAACCTAATTGAGGAACAGGTTGCAGCTCTGGAGCAGGCAGCTTATAAATTGGATGCATATTCCAAAAAACTCGGTAACTGTTGTCCTCTTCTGTTACTATGTAGCCGCATAGTCCCTTGCAAGGGGATTTAAAAAGACAAAGTAAAGTTCTCCTCTGTTTAATAAATCTGAGCTGCAGAGTTGCCTGTGCTGCTTTTGAGCAACAGACATTGTATGTGAAAAGGTTCTACACAGAAAAGATTAGTTTAACAAGTTCTATGGAGGTGTACTAGTTATAGGTATTTTAGAATTACAGCTTATTAGTGAGGCTTGATTTCTCTGTTACAATATCCACTGACTGAAATTTTAAAGGCAAATGAAGGATTCATAAAGTTCCACCAGGCACCCCAGTCCCCTTGGCTTAAATCAGTATTAGTTGTCTAACTTAAGCACCTGGTTCTTAAAAATTTTATTACACAATTATACTTGCCTAAATGCTTTACAGTGATACTGTAAATTAACTTGAATTTTAAGATGTTTAACAGCTTGCAGGATTCAAAGCTTTTGCCTATTAAGACCTAAATAATTGTTTTTTCTTCCGCAGAAGCCAAGTACAAAAAACTGGAGAAACGATGAAATTACAACAGTCTTTAAGTTGGAGTTGGGCTATGAGTCAGACTGATTTCTTTCTAAGTTGCACAACAGCATTTCTGTATGTTGACAAGGATTTGGTTACAGCTAACATCAAGGCTGGTAACTTTTTCTATCTATTGAATACAGTAGGCTGTATTCAGGCTTAAGGCTGAATAATATTTTCCTCTTCTCAAGAGGTTCTGTTGCCTCAGTTGTTCTGCAGTGAAAAGTAGAAGCCTGTTCCTACCCCCTGTGTTGATACTGGCTGTGTGTTAGTCCTACGTCCCACATGAAATTATCTAGGAAAAGCCCTTCATAACCTATAAACACATTATTCCTTAGTAGCGGCAGGACCTAAACTTCATTTTTATCTTCACTGAGCTCTCTGAGAAGATACCCGGGCCTTTGGAGTTATGAGCATGGTATTGAGAACACTTCATTCTGGTATCCACCTTTATCTGTTTGAAATAGAGAGACCAATTATTATAAATTTACAATAAAACAACTTGCTGCATTTGTCTCTCTGGAATCACAAATTCCTGTTGGAAAGATTATGTAAGCTGTCTTTTTTTTTTTTTTTTTTTCCCCTCCCCCAAAAAATCTGTTAATAAAGACAAACTCCTTCTAGCTACTGGAGATCGTAGAAGATAGCATGTTTTAAACTCTGTGTCAAGTATTCCTGCAATTATATTCTTTGACTGTTGGGACCTCAGGTGAAATGGCAAGGAGTATTGCTTTATCACATGCTCAGTTTACTTAGCAGATCTTTACTTTACCAATGAATTTGACCCTAATAGTTTTTGAAGAGGCATGTCCAGCACAAAAAGCTCCTGAAGCAGATTAGCAGGGCTCCAAATTGCTAATTTAGCAGAGCCCTTCTTACTGAACAGGTGTTTCAAGTGGATTTTTTTATCCATGCCTACTACTTCAAGCTGTCTTTTGAGCCAATTACAGTGTAGAATAGTAGGAGTGCTAATATAGGAAAGAAGTAATTCAAACTTCCTACCAGGATGTTGAGAAGAATGTCTATTCAGGTGCCAGTGTGGTACAGATCATAATGTCAGCCAGTATTCAGCCACTGTATATAGGCAAGATAGACACTTCCCTAGTGGTGTTTCAAAACAGTGAAGCAGACGACCTTTGGGAGCCTTCACTATCACTTTTAAAATTCTGGATTTAAAATAGAAAGTGCTATTCTGTATGGCTTTGATGCAGGAATTGAGAGAGGGTTGAGTTCGCTTTGAAGAAAGGCCTTTTTGGAATGGGCATATTTAAAGAACAGGGTTAAGTCTCCCAGAGGTATCCAGCCATTTGCATCTGTATTGCTTTTATCCATAGTTAGCTCATTGATGATTTTTCTACCTGTGGTAACAAATTAGACATATTAGTATTCTTACCAAAGTAGTATCCTCCAACCCAGTAGGGAGAGATATCAACAGATAAGTTACCATTTCTGTGTTGGAGACGATGATACCATGTAGAGTGGCAGCCTGGTTTAAAATCTGACAGATCATCATCTTCTGAGGATTCATGGTGTATTTGCAGTTCTGCTGAACAAGAGGATCTACCCAGCCAGATCTGAAATCTTCCTGCCTAGAAACTGGCTTTTGAATGACAGCCTGAACAGTAGCCTGCTGCGTAATTTCTGATGCTGGAAAGTGGTACCACAAGGCGGTAGACAATGTAGAAGTCCTGTTTCTCCAGTGTTTCATGCATCTCTAGATTATACAAGAGCTAAATGTGATTAAGCCAAACTCACCAGTATTTTTGATAGTACCATCCTTTGCCATTGTGGAGGAGAATCACAGACGTTTGGCTGGTGATATAAAGGCTTGAGGGTGCTGCTCATGGCTCTTTTGTTCCCTGAAAGAATGAGGGTTTTCATTATACATTCAGGCTACATTCAGGGCATGTTGCACCTGCCTGTGGCTGGGAGCTTAGTCCCTGATCCCTTTCTGGCCCCTACCTGTCTTTAAGAACAGAAAAGTTACTGATTCGTATTAGGCTGGAAATGGTTCTGGAGCTGACTGGCCATTGGTTGTTCTAGGACAAGATCACTGATCTTGAAATCAAAGAAAGCCTAGGCAATCTTTGATTACTATCTTTTTCTGGGAAGATAGTGCTATATGCACATAGGCGATGCTGGCATACAAAGGGTTTGTTCACTGCAGGGATGCAGCTGGCCCTGCACTCTGGCTACATGCAGAGGCCCAGATGAAGGGGTGGCAGAGTTGTGTCCTAAGGAATTACAATGGAGAGCTGGCCATGTGCTCTCTAGATGATCTGCTCTCTAGAATCATCCCTGTGATCATCTCCATGTGGTGAAAATATCAAGCCCTAAGTGCCAGTGTCTTGTACCATCGCATGGCAGCAGGCCAGTTAAGTTTGAACCCTGTCAGATGACCTGCAAATCAAGTATTGAACACAGAGTGGAACGTGGTCTGGACATCTCCATGCTTTGGTGGCAGCATACTGCCACTGTAGTTGCAAGTCCACTTACTGGATGTGTGCCATATGCTCAGACCCTCAACGAGACACAGACTCTACAGATCCAAGCTGGGTACAGAATTGGATGCATGGCAGCCCTGCTCTGTCTTAAGATAAGTCCCAGACAGCTTCCCTTTTCCTTAACACCTACTGTCCGCATTCCACTTGGGATGCCAAAAGTCATACTTCCATAGTAGGAAGGATTCACTGTCACTGGGATCTTAACAGCAGCCTTGCTGTGTAAATTCCTGAAGTGGCCCGAAGAACACTGTGGCTGTCCTCTGTGTTTAGAACCTCTAGCAATTCCAACTGCCTTGGACCCAGTAGGACACCTTTTCATCTTGAGGCCATGGGGAGGCACTTAATAGTGAAGGTGTTTCAGGGCTGCTCATGTCTTAAAGAGAGGAAACAGCTATGTGCCTCACCCTTGTCAGGCATGGTTTAATATACCAAGCTCATCCTGTGGCAGCAAGACTTTACTTTCATAATGTGTGCCTGGAGCATTCTAGGTTGCCAAAGGCAATTATGGACATTACAGCAGCCCAGTAGGAAGCTTTCCTAATGTGAAAGTTAGATATGAAGATTGTCAGAGTTTGGGCAGAAAGGCAAAAGATAGGCTGGTGCTAGCTAAGCAAGAACATATTCTCAGGGGCACTAGGGCTAGAGTTTTTTCCTTTGCTCAGGAGAGAACTGGAAGATTGTGATTAAGGAGATTGTGACTGTACAGAACACCACTGGACTACATGCATACTAGCTGTAAGCCCTAATTATCACTTCTCAGGTCTGAAAGCAGAGGATCCTGTCAGTGTAATGACTAAAATTGGACTGGTGCCCTCTAAGACAGCATCCATGCAGCTGTTGTTAACAGGTATTGTTCCTCACCCCTCAAGGCCAAGGGGATCAAGGAGGCTGAGTGACTAAGTGGGTAGATAAATATGATCACATGAAGGTAAAACCATTGTATCTCCTCTGCACTCACCTCACATGGAGAATGCTCACTCTGCATGGAGCTCCCTTGCCTGCTCCGTCCCACCTCTTCGTAGTCAGAGGCACAGTGCCTGGTTTGTATGTTTATAGCAAGGCAAAGAGCAGGCTCAAGAATAGGTGACAATCCCATTTGGATCTGTTTTTGTAGAACTGCTGGCTTAGCCATATGTTGTTTTAATCATCTTATTTGATTAAGAGATCCACTTACCACATACCACACAGCATGCTGTTGGAAGGTCGAGGAATCTGTGTGATTGGGGCATAGAAAATGTCAAAGAAAAATAACTTGGTGTGTGTCTGCTTGTTGTCTTTTTTTGCTAGGATTGCGGGAAGTCCACAGGAGGGCGATGTGTCAGCAGAGAAAACTGCCACAAGTGGAAGCCGCAAAGGCAGAGTATCTAGCCATGCATTGCCTGCAAGTGCTTAGTGTTTTCAAGTAAAAGAGCAATGAAATAGCAAATTCCTTCACAGACTTTTGAGTATTCGACCTCCAGGAGCCAGAAATGGGAATAGGAGCTTGTTCCACAAGAGACTTTACTGGGAGGAAGTTTTAGATACTGACTATGTGGCTGGTTGGAGGATTGTGTGAAAGTGGCATCCCACTTACGCGAAGAGCTGTCAGCTGTGTTCCCAGTTTTCTCTCTGAGTAACTATTCGCCTCTGCCTGAGGGCCTTCTGTGTGACTGGTGGAATCCAAATCACAGCAAGGATGGCATGTCCTTTGGAGGGCAGCACCACAGAAGAGGCATAGGTAGGTGTGTGTGAATAGCATTATATTGGGGAAATATGTAGTCCAGAAGCAGCACAACTTGGTTGCTGCTGAAGACATTTCACCTGTACAATCTGTGAGAAGTTTCAGAGAAGGTAGAGACCTATAGGGGGAGGCTAAATCTCTATCACTTCGCTTTTGCAGCGTTTTCTGGTGGAAAATATAATAAGAAAGTAGCACGTGCTTGAAGGGAAGAACATGGGAAAGAACAGAGGAAAGGGAGGGCTGACATATGAGAATTGAGGGGCAAAGTATCTCATTAAGATATCTCATCTATGCAACTGCTTTGGAGCTGAAGCAGTTCTTGAGGACTTGGACTGTCGCTGCAAACCAGGGGTGAAAATCAGCCCAGTAAATACAGCTCTGTAAGTAGAAAAAGAAAAGTTCAGTTCCAGAAGAGGATTTTCCCCCCAGCACCTCAAGACAGTTCTGCACAGCTGTTTTAAGAGATTATTCTGAAGTCATCCAACTTTCAGAGCAGTACTTCCTGGCAATGCCAACAGTCTTCAGAATGGGCTTTTAAATCATTAGTGGAAACTGCAGCATGTCCAACAGCTGAAAAACAGCTTTTCTAGAATGGAGTATACTTTTTAACCTGGAACTCTTGTGTTCAAAAGAAATGTTAAAAGATACCCAATGGGATGATAATCACAAGTGTATATAATGGCCTGAAGATAAATACATTGTTATATTTTTAGCATCCCATCAAAGGACAAACGTATAAGCAACATAAAAGTAATAGGCGGAAGACAAGCATGCTATGAAAGCATGACAGGGTTTGTTAACGCAAATTTTGTTAAAGATTAATGTATGTCCTTGCTTTCTAATACTACAGTAGACAAGGTTGACCTTAGAAAAGTTCACCTAGGCTTAAAAATAAAGCAGTTCATCCAAATTTGTGGGCAGAAAGTGATTTTTTTTCTAACCAGAATGTTTTTACTGTAGGCTTCATAAAGTGAGCCTGCCAGGATGCAGCTTCAGGCCTTCCTGATCCCATATCCCTGTTCCACATTGCAATCGATTCGTACAACTTGTTAAGAACTTGCCAACAAAGTTTCAGTTGACAAGCAGGTATTCTTTATTGCAGCGCTGGGAGACACAGGGGGTATCTCCTCCT